TACTTTGAAAACAACTTTCCCATAGAAATTAGCAAGTTACCGTAAAACTAACGACTCTACAGAAGGGCGCGGTTTCAATGTAAAAGTTGAGGTTTTCCTGCAAGGTGAGGGTTTTGTATGGCCTCTTCTTCCAGGCTGCAGTCTTTGTTGAAATATTAGAACTATACAAATATGACGCAGATATCTGGCGACCTATACCAATATTGTCTACTCTGCTGAATAGTACGGGGAATGACATGTTATTGATTACATGATGTGATGTGTTTTGTGTCGTCTGATGTGAGAATGTACCATGAATAGAATAGAATAGATATAATATAGGTAGAATAGAATAGAATCGAATATTATTTATGCTAGTTAGAGAATATTAGCCTGTAAGCTCTGAGCGCGAGTTCTGATATATAGCTGTTTGTGACTTCATCACTAAGCACCAAATCCTGTAACTCATAGTTCTCGACGTTTCTTTATATTTACATTAAGAAACGTCGAGAGCTTTGAGTATAAACCAACGGGTGACAAGTGAGTTTTATGTAAACGAATCAGAGTGGGCTCTTGTCATTACACACGGTGAGCTAATGGTCATGTAACGGGTAAATGTATGTTAACGGGCTTACCCAGGAAATATAACAAGTAGACCCAGGAAATATAACAAGTAGACCCAGGAAATATAACAAGTAGATCTAAATCTCTGTCGTAAATATTATGCATGGTATTGAGTAAAACCTCGATTTATCGGGATATTTTGGGGAATGCATACTTGGGCCAATATTTTCGGTGAATCGTAAAGTCCGGTAAAATGTGGTTTTAATTTAAAAAGTTAAAAGTGAGATCGTTACGGTCAATACTCAATAAGGTGCAAATCAGTATATTGGGACACAGTAAACCGCGGTAAATCGTGGTTTTAACTTTTAAAACTGTTATACTAAAGTGGCGTCAGCGGCCACGAGGATTGGCCCTTCAGTATTACTGCTAAGCCTCTTCAAACCATTAATCGAAGCTCAGAAATTCGTATTTTATTTTAAACCAAATTATTTTACGGTAATTCATATTTTTGCATATTATGTCTGATTATAAAAGATAATAATGAAAAGTGTAAACCAGTGCTTGCTTTGAAATAACTACTCTTTAATAACCTTCCCAAACCCTCGTAATGAGCAGCTCCGGTCACGGTACCATCACAGAGGTTAAACATCCCCACACCTCTCTCTCTCTCTCTCCACTTACCCACACAGTCACCAGCCAACACCAACCACCCATTGTCCGACCACACAAAAGCGCATTGTAGCTCAATATCACTACTTTTTATAACTAGTAAACAGTATGGAGGCGAACAATGGAGTACTGCGGAGTGCTTACTGTTCTTCACGGCTGTGTAGCGGAGAGTAGGAGAGTATAGAGTGCAGCAGATAAGTAGTAAGTACTGTTAATAATGGTGGGGAGGTGGTGTTAAAACATTGTGTAAATCATTACTTGTGATACATCCAACATGTTACATTGTTCGTTACTTGAAACAACGTGATATTAGCGATTCACGTTTTGTTTTAGAAAACATTACTGATTATGTTCAAACCGAAGATCATTATTTAGCAGGGGTATGTTTTGTTAAGGTTATGCAATGTCTTCCATTGTTTGCCACAAGCTTATTTCCGGACAAACATATAAGTTAAATATAGGATAGGTTTAAAAAAGAGATGCGTAGTATTAATGATCCGCACTCATTGTCAATTCTACACACGATTAAGTAAAGCAACCATAAAAAATAAAACCAACCAATCAGTGATATTGTCAGTAAGATTGCTTCATTGTCAAATAATTTACGAACATATTGTGTCACTCGCAATAACTTGCTGCTTTCCATAATGAGACTCAATAAAAATAAATCGATCCTGTTCTTAATAGCGGTAATATATCTGCCATGGAAACACACACGTTAGTGTTAATAGCCACATCCACCTAAAAAAGAATATTCCCTGACCATTATAATATGTTTAATAACACTCAATTGTAGTGTACGTTTCCAGGCGCCCATATAAAGGCTGCCATCACCACTATGTCGCCACCATTCTGCCTGTATAATGTTAGTGTTCACCGCTGTGCTGCCACCATTCTGCCTGTATAATGTTAGTGTTCACCGCTGTGCTGCCACCATGCTGCCACCATTATAATGTTCTAGTGTTGACCACTGTGCTCATGCTGCACATTGTTATAAATTTGGGATTTGTGTTCGTCACTCGCCATGAATTCCAAAATTGTAAGTTTTTTTTGCTTTGGCAAAAATTACCGGGGAACAAACAGAACGTAAGCAGCAATTTTTGGCATTGTTACAACACTTAGCCACCACCAAGCTTCCGCAAAAACGGCTGTGTCACTGCACTGGTCGTGTATGTTTTACAAACGTCAAACCGAGTTTATTTATAAAACAGGTGAAAATTGAGTGTATCCGCAAAATAACTTTTGGTATTTTCTACAGAAATCAAATAACAAATCACATATAAAACTTTTGGAAATTTTGGAGCCATGTAGACCGTACACCATTTATTAACTTATCAATAACGTTTATCAACTTATCTGTAACTTTTGCCATTTCATTTCAGTCGATACTTTCTATTGTTGGACTATGAAAAAGACGATGGCGGCCATTCACATGTGAATTTCACATCACAATCATGGTCAAGCACATTGAGTTTCGTCCATACTATGTTTACTTTAAAACATGGCAAGTCTTGTTGTAGATATAGAATATTATGGATAAAATATGATGCAAGTACAGAGTGAGTGTATAATTTATATTTAACACATACACGAGCCTACAAGAGTTAAATATATGATAAACTGCACACTTGTTTTAAAGTAAATTATTCACGACAGCAATCAATTCGTATTAAGCACGTGACTCAGATATTATTTTGTAATTCACTCAGAAAATAGAGATAAATTAGCGATTTTATTGCTGAGAAGAAGTAAATTTTACATTTGAATTACGTATTATTATGAAACTTACCAAATCTGTACTTTATCTAAGATTTAAAATACATCCTAGTTCGTTTAGTAGATCCTTCCAAACTACGTAGAGACATCTCATACAGTCACTAGATGTACAGCAGCAGACACAGTTAATCAGCTATACAGCAGTTTACAATAGCTTGGGATGTGGGTTTGTACTTTGTAAGCGCTGTAACACTATTTCATAGGTAAGCTGAGCACTGCACAGCCACAGAGAATACAATAATATTTCCTTAATCCATAATATTCAATAGTGAAGTGGTAATTGGTGTAACTTTGTAGTTGCTTTAACCTGTGAGCTATTTGGTGGTATTATAAAGTATTGACATTTTGTACTGACTACTGATCAATAAACAAACATAACTAGGATTGAAACCGAAGTTGGTAATTTTTATATATAATATAGTCAGGGCTGAAACCCTCATGTATGGTGAGTACTACCAAATTAATTGCCGTGAAAATTAATTCTAAATATTTAGAATGTTATATGAAAATGAGGACTGGAAAAATTAAAAATTTGGAAAAAATTCGGAAAATTTCACTTTTCACAGTATCCCCTTTACACCGGCCAATTAAAAAATAAAAAGTGACGGATAAGTCAATACACTCGCCGCCAAAACCACGACGATATTTATTAAAAACCTTCTCACACTGTTGGACAAAGGATGAACGGGTCATTTTCACATTTCCCACGGTCAAATTGAGCAATGTCCGTTCACATTCTTGGACAAAATACCGGATGTAATGAACCTATTTGAAATGTCGAGAAATTCTGTTCAATAAAACACTCTTTTTCAATTTGGCGTATCAAAATATGGAATACTGATATCTGGATATTATCCGGTTGGAAGAGACAAGGACAAGTGAAACAAGGAAGTTAGGAGTAAGGGCAAATTTTCGGCGTCAACGCCATCTTAGCCTGAAGATGGCGTTGACGCCGAAAATTTGCCACCGAATAATATCCAGATATCAGTATTTCAATAATGAGACTAATAAACAGCGAACTACTCCGTTATTTGAAAATATGGAATGGGCTCGAATAAGCTATTACGATGTGGATGGAAAGATACTCTACTAAAGAGTCAATTAAAATGCATGTATTTAACAGGATTTATTAAATAATAATGATTTTAAGAGTTTATTCTGATTTCTGTGGCAGACAATTTTACTAACTGAGTCCATTATATTTATCAAGTAAAAATAAATTTCATTGATTTTAAGTGAGCTTGTTAACAAATTTTTTAATCTTTTGAGTCCTAGCGAAGTGAACAATCTATTATGTGATGATTTCGAAATCGAAAATCTCTTTTGAAAAATATAACAGTTCCGTCTGCTTGAAATGGCAAACGTTTCACTTTTCAGCCAGAATATAATTCTGTCCGGTTTACATGTTTACAGATATTTTTTCCTTTTATTTGATACAATGTATCAAATAAAAGGAAAAAATATCTGTTAACATGTAAACCGGACAGAATTATATTCTGGCTGAAAAGGTAATGTACATGTCATGTAAATTACCTTATACCTGCCATCTACAGAAGACGATGAACATCTACCAAAATAAATAGGGTTTTCACCAATCTTTAATTGAAGGACTAAAGACCAATTGAAATGTCGATTAAACTATTAAATTTTACGGAGGTTCATCATTTGTCGACATTTTAGTTGGTCTTTAGTCCTTGCATTATTTTTAGATACAAAAGAGGTCACGCACATATCATTACGTGACCTCTTTTGATGGTCACGTAAATCATATATTGATCATATATTACATAATACAACAAGACAAGTTATATACTACAGGGTTTGCCAAGCATTAACATTGACTGGGTCTCACTACATCACCTTAATGAATTTGATAGATTTACAGTGTGATCATATAATATGATCATGATAGAGCGTCTTTATAATAGTGTTGAAAAATATTTCATCGTCGTGTAAAAGCATTATCATTGTATCAATGAAACTAACAATAATTAAAGAAAGTAGAAACTAACCTGTTACAGTTGTTGTTTCTAATGTTCTCGTGATCAGCCTGAGTGTACAGCCGGTGAACTGGGGCATGTGCCTGTCTGAAACGGAGCACTGTGTTTATACCATGAACTAATCAGCAACCAATCAAATCACGTGTTAAAACTTCATGGCCTGTCTCCAAAAGTGTGATTTATAGTGTTATTTTAGATTATCCGACAATTGTTATATAACAGAACCTGCTAGAATAAAAAACGACTGTGTGAGAGCTATTTGAGCTTATCTTAGGACACAGCTGATTAAGTCAGGCGCATACTGTTTTGACATTTGGCCAGCATTGCATAGCTTAGGGACCTCGTAGTATCCAACTACTATGTGGTATTCTAAATTTCACTTTTGTGAAGAGGAGGTCTCCAGATCTCAATCGGACACTGTGAAATTCCAGTTTACACTTAAAATGTAAACAACGTATATTATTAATGCTGTAAATTGTAGTATGTTACAGTGCAGATGTGTGAATTTGTGTACTGAACACTCCCGCAATACTCTACATCTTAACACTCCTACACACTCAGTGGAGTACATGTACTCCACATAGTGTGTAGGAGTGTTAAGATGTAGAGTATGTATACACAGAGGAACATGATTGCTGTTAATTCTAACTGTAATCGACATCATGATATTATAATAACTAACATAACGAAGTGATTTTATAGAATCATAGAAAATTGGCGTGTTTTGTGTAAAATGTGACCTGGCAAAACACTGATATAATACCTTTAATACGATATGGCGATTAGTTGCCATGGTAACACTAATCTAAGGAGGGGTGTAAAGCTAGATTTAACTGCCCTAAATTTATTCTCGCGGTATTATGCTTTGTACAAGGATGGTTATTGATCTAAAAGACAAAATGTAGACCTCCAATTTTTTGAGGAATTTCAAAGAAAGAATTATAAGATTCGGTAACCCTGAGAAACCGACTAGATAATGAAATTGAAATTTGTAATGATCAACTCACTTTGGAAAAATCTTATCTTTCTCTGTTTCCTCTCTAACATGCAGCTGAAACAATCAAGTATACATCGTTTTGATTTTATAAAACTACAGAAATCCCATTCCTTGGCTTTGTGGAAAGTCAAGTACACAACATTAATGGAGTTGCAGAAAGTCAAGTACACAACATTAATGGCAAGGATTACACCGCCGTAAACCCGATAAACGGCCAACAAGCATGATATTTAGTGCAATGTTGTTAATGACTTGGGCACACTGGCCAAGTTATGCGGAGTAAAAGTGTTTGACTCCTGGTTAACAGAAGATTTGTTTGTTTGTTTGTTTGTTTGTTTATAGAACCCGTCCCCAATCTCGTATCGGAAAATGACTAAACTCAGGTCTGAGTGTGAATACGGGTGGTACCTGCAAGAGTGTTCATTAAGCATTTAGAGTTCTGTAAAACTGCAGTTACAATTGTGCTAGAGTATTTTTAGTATATACGATTGGTATCAGATATATATCCCTACATGCTTCCAAAATTTGTAAAGCCGTCTTACATACATATCACATTACACCGGAGCCTACACAGTGCAATCTCCTCCAGTCGATCTGCGCCGCGTATGTTTATATAAGCGCGCTGCGCAGACTGGAGGAAACCACACTCTGCAAGTTCGATCCAGTGCAATGCTACATGTACGTACTACGGCTTCATCTCCAACTTTCTGCACAATGTACTGGAATGTTTTGAAGGAAAAGAAAGAACAAAAAAAAGTGATATATAAATAAAATCAGCGATTTAATGTTAGCCTTAGGAGGGTAACTTTAATTCCCTGGTTTCTAAAATCAGCTTTAAAATAAAAAATAATAAAGTATGTAACGTCGATACCAAACCGATTATTGAGCGATAATAACTGAGTAGTTGATTCCTGGGTTGCGGAGTCATTTAGATGTTCCAGTTTTCGAATTTGGTTCTTGTTCAGTTCTTGACCAGAAGTGTCTAATGAAGTAAGTCAGACAAGCAAACTCTTCCTTTAATGCTGATATAAGTCGTCTCAATCCCAGAAATTATGAATGATGACCCAGTGTAAAAGTGCAGAAATCGGCCGAAAATAACAAAGACTAAAAACAGTTAAAAAGTGACAGGATTCAAACACAAGGAAAATTAATAACTTAGAGCGTAATAAGGAATATCTCCAAACGGAGTTTTCTGAGAGGGTGAGAGGTTCTTTAATTAGAGCTAATGATTAAATGAGACCCACTAAAGGTACTAAATTAACCGGACTGCTAGCAAGGAATCGAGAGTCGAGTGGGAATAAAAATAAAAGCGGAATAAATTTTAAGATAATGAAACAGAAACTGAAAGCTAAAATATATACCGTTCTAGAATGCCTCCGCAAACTATTGCTCCTTTGTAATATGCACGTGTTACTGTTAGTAAGTGTAGTAAAAAGATAAAAATAATAAAGCTATAAAAATGAACGGATCGGTGAAAATCTGAGAGGGTGAGACTGAGAGGTTCTTTAATTAGAGCTAATGATTAAATGAGACCCACTAAAGGTACTAAATTAACCGGACTGCTAGCAAGGAATCGAGAGTCGAGTGGGAATAAAAATAAAAGCGGAATAAATTTTAAGATAATGAAACAGAAACTGAAAGCTAAAATATATACCGTTCTAGAATGCCTCCGCAAACTATTGCTCCTTTGTAATATGCACGTGTTACTGTTAGTAAGTGTAGTAAAAAGATAAAAATAATAAAGCTATAAAAATGAACGGATCGGTGAAAATCTGAGAGGGTGAGACTGAGAGGTTCTTTAATTAGAGCTAATGATTAAATGAGACCCACTAAAGGTACTAAATTAACCGGACTGCTAGCAAGGAATCGAGAGTCGAGTGGGAATAAAAATAAAAGCGGAATAAATTTTAAGATAATGAAACAGAAACTGAAAGCTAAAATATATACCGTTCTAGAATGCCTCCGCAAACTATTGCTCCTTTGTAATATGCACGTGTTACTGTTAGTAAGTGTAGTAAAAAGATAAAAATAATAAAGCTATAAAAATGAACGGATCGGTGAAAATCTGAGAGGGTGAGACTGAGAGGTTCTTTAATTAGAGCTAATGATTAAATGAGACCCACTAAAGGTACTAAATTAACCGGACTGCTAGCAAGGAATCGAGAGTCGAGTGGGAATAAAAATAAAAGCGGAATAAATTTTAAGATAATCTAACAGAAGATTTAAGGCAAGGCCAATTCTAGATGCATCTTTTTGCAGCGTTTAGGACCTGTGCAGTTTGGAGCTTATTTTGGAGCGGTGTTTTTCAGAAACGATATCAAGTGTTTCAGCAACAGCAATGATTTTATAAACAAAGGTATGAACTGAAAGTGAACAAAAAAGTAATACCTACCTCAACATTCGAATAGAATTAAGTAAACACAAATCAGGCGACTTACCTTAATGGAGTGCTTTGAAAGATCAAGGTTTTTGTAGAGAACTTTGTGGACCTCGTTTAACCAATCAATAACTCGCTGATGTTTTTGTTCAGGGGTGCACTCCGCCCGTGAAACTGCTTGTGTTAGAGCAGATGATCTTGTCATGTCGCTTGTATTGACCCTCGTCCAAATAGCTAGAAAGAGATTGTATTAACGTTCCATCACTGATCTGGGGAGGTGACATTATATAATATATTTTGGCTCTTTACAGCGATCAACCGATCAGCCTGAAGCAGTAGCTAACCTAAATTGTAACTTGCTTCTACAGTTCTACCTGTCAAAACACATTACAACAAATTTGAGTTATGTCACCTTTTTCTGTTAAATTATATAATATAAATGTCAAATTTATTAATTATTAATCTAGATCTAGACACTGGTTGGGAGGTGAGCCATATGTGTTGTACACAATATACCTATTGTGTTTATCATTAAGAAACCCCCTCCCCCACTCAGTGATTACATAAAATGTGAACTTCCTCAACTGGGTCCAGATCTAAATATTTACATAATATATTATATACATATAATGTGTGAAGTGAGTGTACTACATCAGACATCAGTTGAAATAAAAGGTAAGGACAGTTAGTTGAATTTAGCATTTAGGCATAATTAATAATTATTTTAGTAATAAAATGATATTATAGTTTGCATGCATTTTAGCTTATGCAAACAATGTGTTGGAATCTCATGTTGTAAAGTTACAATATCAAATACTCTGTCTCCATTACACTCATGGCCAGCTCGACTGGTCCCAAGCATCCTCTCCATCTTATCGTAAAAACTTCTATGAGGGTAATCCTACAATAATTATACATCTTGAATTGTCACTAAAGTCAGTGGAAGACATTAACTTTGTAAGTTATTTGTTGTGTTAAACTCAACAATCGTGTAATGAAACATTATATAAGTTACACTGAGGAATAATCTTACCTGAGAGTACATAAAGGCTGTTTTGGCGAATTTTTGAGCTTAAGGGGGTTCACCCTAAATATTTTGTGAAACTTGTTTTAGAGATAGGCAAACAAACTAAGACCTGTGGCAACACTTTTTTATTGGTCCCAGACCCCAACTGCCCACTGGTGCTCACTGGTGCCAAATCACCTGAACATTCCCAAAACCCATGTCCTACCTATGTCCCAACACACTGGTGTTGGGATGTCTGTCCCCGGTACCTGTCCGGGTCAATAAAGCAGTCAAGCATCATGTATGTTATGTTGAGTATTCTCAACCAACAAATGTGGGAACTCTCACGAAAGACCAAAACAGATCTAAAGACACACTTAACAACATTGGAAAAATAGACTTCAATTTGTTTATATAATTTATAAAGCGTATATTATTCAGTTAAACAAAACAAAACAAAAATTCAATTTTATGCCATTTATTACAGAGAAATGAAATGAAATGAAATGAAATGAAATGAAATGAAATGAAATGAAATGAAATGAAATGAAATGAAATGAAATGAAATGAAATGAAATGAAATGAAATGAGGTATTTATATCCCGCTCATATGATTAACCAACAACAGAAGGAAGAGGTTAACCATGTCAGAGCGGCTGACTGTGAGTAATGTGAGCAAATGTGTAAAATGAACAAAAGTATAACTCAAAAGTATAACACAAAATTAAAACATCTTTTATTGTAAACACCACACTAAACTAAAAAGAAGCAGAAACCATACAATACGTGTAGGTATTATAAATGATAATACAGTGACATGATCAACAAAAAAGGGAGACAGATCCTAGAAGGTAGAGATCAAGACATAAAATGGAGTGCAGTAAAAAATAAAAGCCAATGTGTCTTGCAAAGTGAAGACAAAAGGGAAGAAAAAATATCAAAACTGATTATATAAATGGTTCTTTAACATTCACTTGAAGCAGTTGGTATCAGTAATACATCTCAACATCATTGGAAGAGAGTTCCATGCAATCGGTGCATGGCTTGAGAAACGTCTGTCATCAACTTTGGACCTTTTATTCTTTGGTACCTTTAACATGAGATGGTCACCAGATCTTTTCGACCTGGTCATGGTGTTTGAAAGTTCTGTATCCACTACAGCCACATCTAGTAATGCTTTTAGGTAATCAGGTGCAGTACCGTGAACTGATTTGTGGGTTAAAAGACAAACCTTAAAGAAGATTCGTTGGTCTATAGGGAGTATGTGGGCCTTCTTATAGAAGGGAACCAAGTCCGTGGTTCTGTCTTCTATGTTATAGATGAAACGAACTGCCCCATTAAGGGTGGATCTAAGTTTGTTTAATCTGGTCTTGGGTAGATTCATGTACAGAGAATTACAGTAATCTAATTTAGATATAACCAGTTGTTTCACCAACATCAATTTAATGCCTTCATCCAGGTAACGACCAATAGTTCTTAAGTTCATCATTGTCCAGCTACATTTCCTTTTCACATTATTTATTTGTCTTTCCATGTTTAAAGTTTCATCAAATTTGACACCTAGACTCTTCCAGCTGTCTCCTTTGCACTCCGTAGGTAGAATTTCAGTGCTTCCGAATTGTAGTCTGACACTGAGTTCACACTTTTTTAGAACATGGCTCTTTCCTAACACCAGTAGTTCTGTCTTTGTTTCATTCAGTTTCATGTAATTGTTCACCATCCACGTTTTGATCTCTGCAAGACATTTGTTTGTCCTGTCTTGGACATCAGTTATCTCAGATATTCTCTGTTATCTCAGAGAAATTATCAAAGATGAAGTCTTTATCAAGAACAGGAACTTTGTCTGTGTCTTTGTCTTTGTCTTTGTCTTTGTCTTTGTCTTTGTCTTTGTCTTTGTCTTTGTTTATATCTTTGTCTTTGTCTTTGTCTTTGTCTTTGTCTTTGTCTTTGTCTTTGTCTTTGTCTTTGTCTTTAACAGAATCTTTTCCTTCCTTCTCAATGGCTCGTCTGATGGTAGCAACCTTTTCAGCGAAAAAATCTTTAAAATCTTCTGATAGTTTAACAGGATCCTTGTAGTTTGGAAGGTTTTGGGTGTCATTTCCTAAAAGTCTGTTGACTTTTTTGTACAATGCTTTAGTATCTCCTGAAGAGGACCTAAGAGAGGTTTTGTGGTGAGCACATCTTTTAACAAACTCTACTCGGGAAAACTCATCTCTTAGCTTAACATAGTCAGATCTCAAGTACTCAGATCTTTCACTGTCTATTATATAATCTACTTTATCTTTTCTCCAGGCACGTTCCGCAGTTCTTCTTTTTCGCCTGAGAATACGAAGTTCTAGATCTAACCAGGGCATTGGCTTCTTAGTAATCTTCTTTTTTATGTAGGGACAATGTTTATCCATTAACTGAGTGAGTACGGTGTTGTAAAGGACGACAGCATCATTCGGAGACATATCTTTGGGAAAGTTTGTCAGTTTTGAAATTAGAATATCTTCTTTAAACTGTTCTGTATCAATTAAATTAAAGTTTCTGTAGTTCATAAATTTAACGTCTTCTTTGGTCTTTGTCTTGATGTCTGCATCGAAGAGGACAAGGAAATGGTCAGATTTGGTTCTTGAGGGACGGATTTCAAATGAAGTCAGTTTTTCCTTGAAGGATCTATTAGTAACTACAAGATCTAGGGTTCCACCTTGGTCATGGGTTGGCTCAAGAGGAACATGTTGATAAAGGTCATACTCCTCCAGGAGTTGGTAGAGCTTCTTTGGGTAGTGTTCTTCAGGCTTTTCCATGTGAAAGTTGAAATCTCCAGCGATAATAGGAAAACCCGGTTTGACTGTGAGGTCTTTAAGGTAGTCTTCAAATTCTTCTAGAAAGGCACACTCCGTGTACCGAGCCTTCTTGGTATAAGGAGGCCGATACAAGTAAACAAGTTTACAATAAATCAATTTGATATTTAAAGGAATCCTAATTCAATGTGTAGTATGGTTGTCACTCTTTAAATAGATTAGATATAGGTTGACGGGGCAAAGGAGTGTTCGTGCTGTTCGCTATTGCTCACACCAAACGGCAACCTAGTAAAATTTTTGTATGGACACCGGTCTCCATCACGATACAAAATTAGGATTGAAGAATTTATTGTATAACTTTTAGTGCAGTGGAGGAAGCGGTGTGGTGCATTAATAGAGTGACAGCCTACTGATTTAGAGTTGTTTTTACGTGAGCATAATGGGTATATTTTTGGACCTAAAGGCTTTACTATGGCAACTTTAAAATTGGTTCTTTTAATCATTTATTAAATATCACTTAAAAAATATATAAATCTGGAATCTGTTCACACTGTGAACCAGTCCTATAAAAAAAAACCTCTTAAATCAAATATTTAAAACGTCTCAATAATGGAAATAGTCATACAATTAAGAAATTTACCAAATTCTTAATATCTACCTTAAGAGAAAAATACCTACCTAAGTCAATGTCTACCTGTAATACACTAAATATTAGGTTAAATACATAGGTGGTGGAGTCCCACGTTAAGAGGCCTGTTAATAATTTATTAAATTATTAGCTATTTTAGATTTAATAATAATAATAATAATCCCAAAACCCAGATTTTAGGTGCTCTACATAATATAGCCGTGCTATTCAATTAATTTCTATTTAATTATCATGATTTATAATGACATATATAATGGAGAATAAGTTAAAAATTTGGGAAAAAGAAATGTCTGTGGTAAGTGGGGGTTTGTGGTAAATCGTGGTTTCAATAGTGTATCACATCAAATCGTGTATCACATCAAACTGAAGACTCAAAAACAGATTTATACTAGAACTTTTAAGAGATTATATTCAAGCATCAAAATTTGGAAAATTTGCATTTTCGTGACCACCCCTACTTTAGTAGATATATTTTTTGTTTTTGATGATGTGTGATGATGTTTGTGTCATTATATTTTGATTTGATTTGGTTTCAAAAACCTTAACCTGGTAACCTTGTTGCCTGCACAAGAGCAATTCTAACTGCACATCCAATTTTTTTGCGAACAAGTTACCTGGGGACCCCAGGCTATTATGTTCATTAACATAAAGATTAGGCGGAATGACAGGCTGAGCGCGGCCCAGTAACGAACAAGCTGATATCAGATATGAATCCTATCTGCTCGAAATCGTACGAAATCGCCCAAATTCTAAGAATTTTTTTTGTGAAATGTGAAAAGGCCCTATATT